ATCGCGCATGTGCGTATATGATTTTCTCGACATTTCCGAGAAGTAATTTAATCTTATTAAAAAATATAAATAATGTTTTAAAAAGTTATAAAATTAATTATATACTTCAAAAGATTACGAAATTTGCATAAAAATTAAAAAAAAATATAAAATATGAGAAAAATTTTCATCAACGTGCAGTTACTAATATCGATTTTTATTTAATTATACTGTGTATCTTAATGAAATAAATATTCACATTAATGATATTTTAGTGCAGTTCTCATGGAAATATACTGTCGTGTATTAACATTGTTTTTGTATGAAGAATTGTATCCAGTTTTATTAGCTAGATTTGAATGTAAGATCAGTATCAGTGTGAGAAATGTATTGTAATCAAAATAAATGGGTTTAACGAAAAACTGCACGTACAAAATCAAGCGTGTGTTGGAGTTATAAAAATAAAAATATAACTAAAAAAGCAAAATTAATGAGCATAACGATATGGTAATTTAAGCTTAAATTTTAAATATATTTTATATTTTATTAACAATTTTGTTCTTTTCGGTTACATTTTCTTCAGTCTCGAGTAACTTTTTAGTCTTATGTTAATTTTATTGTGAATTCATAAAATATCGCAGCTTTAATACCGTAATTAATTTTTTACAGTAATTATTAGATTCATGTGAGAACCAAATAAAAAAAGGTAGAGTAATATTATTAAATATGGAATATCTTGTGACTGCATTTATGGATCCATATAAACTTGCCGGCTACTGATTATTTATTATTAAGCGTAATTGTAACAATTGTACAATTTTTACGTAACTAATAGAAACTATTAATGATACATATTAATTATAATGATACATATTAAGTATAACAATTAATATTCTAAAATGAAATATATCAAGTTGTATTTCTACTGATCAATAACTTCCTTTCTTCTTTCTTATTGGAACGTGAAATTATCGATATTGAAGGTTCATATACGTCCACAGACATACTGCTCTGTCTAATGTAATTTTTGAAGAATTCTGAAGCTTTGTGAAATCCTTTACTGATCATCTGTACGTCCAGTGCATCGTGCAAGATAACATAACGCAGGACGATGCAATCAAGACTATACAGGAATGAATCGAAATAATTAATTGCGGTTTATTGCTCCCGCAATTAATTATTTTGAGACATTTCTGTATAGTTCCGATTGCATCGTCCTGCATTATACGTTAGCAGATGAGCATCATTCAAATATCCTTGTAAGCTATTGCAAGTTAAAAAATACAATTTAACGCCGAATCTAAACATATGCGAAAAATCGCATATGTGGAACACAGATGCGATCGAACAGATCTACAGATCACGAGTCAATCGCACTGATTGTGAGCGGCGAGTCAAATCCGAGCAGGACTCGGCGCCCTGCAAATTGAAAAGTATTAACAAAACTAATCAAACTTCTGTAGTGACAACAAATTATTATCAAGTCGATTAAATTATCAGTATTAATCGATATGATAAGAATATTAAACAACATTGTCTTGTATATTTTTTTAATACAATGCAATTCTTGGTTTTATTCATATTTAATCTATATTTTTATATAAAAGTGGAAAAAAATATGAATGACGTATTCGATTATTGCAATTGATTTTATACACATAACACATTTATTCATACTTGTTTTCAGATAATAATAGCTGAAACGTCATGCAATGAGAATTCTGAATTGAGTTTTTTCTCGTGCAATGAAACTTTAACTGTAGGATATTTTATTACGGTTAAAGCAGATAAATGTACCGAGTAGATCGAGATACATTTGAAATCGTTTAATGTAATTTTGGAAAAGATGTCAGAAAAGAATTTAGATGCTGTTAAGGAGAAATTAGTAAAGCAATATAATTATACTGCCGATAGCAATCTTAAAAATGAAGTTTATACAAACTGGAGTGAGAACGAAGAGGGAATACATTTTTCAACAGATTCAAGAGGAAAATGCTTGCAATAAAGGATATAAAGAATATAAAGATCAATGATCTGAGAGAATTTTTTGCAAAGTACAGAAATAAATAATTATAAGTTAAACTGGGTATTCATAAATCATTTATTATATCGATACGTCTTATAATATCTTAAGGCAACATTCTAAAATGTCTTCTCCAAGGAAAATTTTACTCAATATAATATGATATACGTTCGGTGTACCATATATTTCCAGTAAAATTTTCCGTAGAAAGACGTTTTGGAAAATAACTTAAAATGCTAATGTAAAGGCTCTGTAATTGGTTTATTAATATTTTAAGACTATTTAAGTCAGTTTTAAATAGAACAATCGACTATGAATATTCGCCCTAAATCGCTGCGTAAATAACACAACTAAGTAAGCATATCTACAATTGTTTATATTCTTTGTACGTGCTACAATATACAAATTATTAAACGTTTGATCTTTGTTGAAGGGCGAATGCCACTAAGAAAGAGAAACGAGTGTCGGGTAGAACAGTTAAAAGTGCTCCAAGTTTACTAAAAGAATTGAAAACTCTTAATCATCAAAATTGTATTACAATTCTCAGATCAGATCATCTTTTTACTGTAATTTTCTGTGCACGTCGATATATATAGTATATCGCCTGCAGAAATGAAGCGCACTGAAGACGATGATCAGCATCAAGTTCAATATCTAGAGACGCCCATCAAATCGGAAAACGACAAAAAGGATTATAGGTAACACAAAGGCATATGCCAAGTAAAAAGAATAATTTTCTAATAGGCCTGAAAAATATCATGACATTAATCTTTTGAGACAAACGTTACAATTAGTTAATCCACTATGTACAAAGGAAGATTAGATTTTTTCTATGACATTCTCACTGACTTTATTCCATTGTTGTTTGTTTTGTCTTTTAAATTTAGGGTCATCAGATTAGAAAATGATTTAACAGCTCTGCTTATATCAGATATATATTTAAAAACAGATGATTCTGAAGATGAAGACACTAAGAAAAATGAAAAACAGGTATAAACAAGACATTTTAGTTGCATTTCAGAATATAATTTGTGCCAAATTATTTCTTAATCCGTCTTTATTGACAAATTTATTGACATTATATAATATTAAAGATAGATAATAAAATCATGAAAGGAATCTGTCTTTACAAGAACTAATGTAAGAATGTATTATCAATTTTATTTAGGATTTATTTCGAAATATGTGATTTAATTTGAATTATGTACGAATTATTCTATTGTGTTGATTTCTTCATTTAATGTAATTTACACAGTGTCTATTGTGTGTAATGCGTGATGTGTGTATATATGCGTATATTTTTTTCAAATAGGCAGTATGTGCCTTATGTGTGGGAGTAGGATGTTTCAGCGATCCAGAGATTCAAAGCATAGGAAATTTATTCAAGCATATGGTTTTCATGGGATCCGAAAAATATTCAAAAGTACTAAAACATGATGCACAATTTTTTGTATAAAATTTCATTTATTCATATTATTGTCTACATTTTTAATTTCATTCTAAAGAGTGAAAACTTGTTCTTAGGTTGCATCAACGTTACTTTGATTTTAAGCGAGGCTTAAAACTCTCTCTATCTCTCTCACTCTCTTGGCTCACTCTCTTTAAAGAGAGAAAGTGAGAGTTTTATATCTCTCTTAAAGTCAAAGTATTATTGGTGTAACCGAACCTTGTTGGACCTTAAACATTGGAAATGAGTTACTATTTCGAGATTGGTTCAATTTTCTCTTTAGAGTGAGATTCTACTAAAAAGAATATATTTATTCTCTGAAGAGTTTACTCTTCAGAGAGTAAATATATATCATCTTATACACACAGGAAAATTTTAAAACATACATCAAAAAACGTGGCGGATTTGTTGACATCTTAACAGATAGCGAACAAACAACATTTTACTTTACTATTCAAGAAAAATACTTTTTTCCTGCTCTTGATCGTTTTGCTCAAGGCTTTATTAAACCCTTGATGACGGAAGATACCGTTTCACGGGAGCGAGAGAAAATAAATGGTAAATTATAATATCATATCAATATAACTTTCAGTCTTTATATGTCATATTCATATATAGAGTATGAATCGATACCTTGTGAGGAGAAGGAACTTCCTGCGAAAACCAATTTAGTCAATAAGTATATTCGGGACAATGTTACAATCTCTAGCAATCATATGGATGATAACAAATTGTGCGAAGAATTGCACAAATTCAAAGATCGCTATTACAGTGCTCACAGAATGACATTAGCTATACAGGTAACTCAATATAAATTGCATTGTGAATCATTGACTACTTATTAAATATATTTTTCGTATAGCATAATACATGTTTTTATAGGCTAAATTATCATTGAGCACATTGGAAAAATTCGTTACGAAATGCTTTGTTGATGTACCAAGTAATAAATTATCTCCTGACTATGTTTCTAGTGTTTCTTTTGGTATTCCCGAAATCGAACAAGAAATAACCAAAACAAAGTCTCATATGTCGCATGTGATGTTTAAGCAAGGTGACAAAGTACGTTAACTATAAAACTTCAAGACAGATTCAAAAGAAGTTATATTTATAGTAAATATATGTATATAATAAATTGTCTTTTGCAGGTAGAAATAACATGGACAATATCTTTCTCACCTGATTTTTATAATAGTAAACCTCATGAATATATCGCATGGATTATTAAACATGGAGGAAAAGGTTCTTTAACAAGTTATCTACGTAAAAAAATGCCAAGTATAAATTTACGTGATACTGTTCAATGTAACAGTGAAACGTTTATAAGATATGATTGTATATATACTATGTTCAAGCTTACTGTAGTGCTCTTCTCTGAGGAACAAGAACATTTGAAGGAAGTTTTAGATGCAATATTTTCCTTTATTAATTTACTAAAAATAGATGATCCACATAAAAGAACTATTTACTATGACATTTATAAGATAATGGAATATAATTTTAGGTAAATTTATTTTAGAAATGTGTAAAAAAACATATATAAAAAGAGATATAATTGAAAAAGAAAAGTCTGTCAAAATTTGTGTATGTGAAACAATTTGAGGTCTTTTTAGATTTATTAACGAAGAAAATTCTGTGAAATATGTAATAAATTTGTGTAAGGGTATGCACTTCTATCCACCACGTGATTATATAACTGCAAATAAGCTTATTTCTATTGAGTACAACCCAGAAGATATACAAAAGTGTTTGAATTATTTGAAGCCAGAGACCGCGATTATTACTATTTTGCAAGAAAAACCTCATCCTTTGGATTGTAATGAAGTTCAGTCCAATGTAAATTGGGACGAAAAGAAATGTATATGCATCGAAGTACCAAAGGAATATTTCGAACATTGGGAATCCATTGAGCCGTTGCCAAATTTTCATTTACCATTAAAAAATGTATTCATTGCCAGCGACTTCTCTTTACTATCGATATCAGAGAATTCAAAAGATCCTGTAAAAATATATAACGATCATATATCGGAAATTTGGTATTGCCCGGATATCAAATTTTGTTTGCCGAAATGTTATATAAACTTTCAATTTGTTTCCTCTCTAGGAGTCCAGTCGCCAAAGAAGTAAGTAATAGCATGGACAGTGTAATAGTAGGTATTACTTCATAATAATAAGTGCTACTATTGTATTTTTTATACTGACCCTATATATGCTAATTTCTAACTACCTTAGTGAAAATTTTTTTCATATTTTTTGGAACACATTGGAACAAGTGTTACATTTTTTAAAAACTGAGAAAGCGAACATCTTTTCTTAGAATTTTTTATAAATATGAAATATTCTAAAATTTTTAATTTTTTAATTTCTGAAAAAGTACTTTAAATCTTTTCAGATTTCGTAAGATTTTATCAGAAATTATGAAGTGTGAGAAATCTTAGAAATCTTAAATATTTCAAAATTTATATAGAGAAGAATTTAAAAAAAAATGCGCGTGCGCGTGTCTTGATAGACTTTCTCGACATTTCCGAAAAATGTTTCAATCTATATATAGAAACTGAGAAATTTTTTTAAATATTATAAAATTAATCAAAACTTCTAAGCGAATCTGAAATTTCTATAAAAATTCTGAAAAATTGTATAAAAAATTATAAGAAAAATTATCAGCATGGTGTAATTGTTAATCTATGATTTTTATATAATTTTATTTTAATGAAAGGAACATTCACGTTTATAACATTTCAGTGCAGTTATTATGGAAATATATTGTCGTGCATTAAAACTGCTTTTGTTCGAAGAATTATATCCAGCTAAGATAGCTGGATTTGAATATTATATCTATACCGATAATAAAGGTATTATAATCGAAATAAACGGGTTTACCGAAAAATTGCCTGTAAGCATGAAATCAAGCGTGTGTTGGAGTTATAAAAATAAAAATATTAGCAATAAGATATTAATGAGAATAACGGTGTGATAATGTAAGCACAAATTTCAATTATATTTCGTATTTCATTAACAATTTTGTACTTTTCAATCACATTCTCAGTCTTCTTTAGTCTCAAGTTTTTAGTTTTATATTAAATTTTATTTGTGAATCCAGAAAGTATTGTGGTTGTAATATTATAATTAATTTGTCACAGTATTTGTTAGATTCAAATGAGAATAAAATTAAAAAAGGCAAAGCTAAAACTATAACAGTATTTTTTATTAATAATAAATAATACATGAATTTTATTTTTAACTTTTAATTTAAATAAAACTAGTATGAAATTTTACTTTCTTTAATTTTCCAACATGATTGCGGAATTTTATATTGTTAAAGAAAGATATAGGTACTATATTTCTTATGTTTCTAGTTTTAAGCTCTTCATTTATTTTTTTTAATTTAGTATTTATTTAAATGTTACAAACATTGTATAAAATTAATTATGGCTTAGAGCTGCGATTCTTCCTGGATTCGGGAATAAGAATAAGATTAATATGAGAGAAAAATTGTTTGCTAAGAAATGTAGTCAAAACTTTTGACATTGTTAATGGAATATGAAATACATACATATATATAAAATGCTCTAAAATTTCCGCGTCGTTAATCTTATTAGCCTTTTTTATTGCTAATTATGTTTATAATATCAAAAATGCTTATTATTAGTATTTCTTCTTATAAATATACTTTCGGACTACATTATTTTACTTATTGCAGCGCTTGTTGATAACTATTGCAAAATACATGGCTAATTATCCAACACTTGTTACGAAGTCTTTATTTGAATCTTGCAAAGAGCAATTAGATAAGGGATATTACAGCAAAGCATTTATGAATCCACATAAACTTATCGTGTACTGTTATTTATTATTAAGCATAATTATAACATTTATAAAATTTTTACATATAACTGATAGAAATAATTAATGATACATAGTCATTATAACAATTACAATTCTAAAATGAAATATATTAGATTATATTTCTGCTGATCAATAACTTCCTTTCTGCTTTCTTACAGTGACGTAAAATTATCGATATTGAAGTTTGTTCATTATACAAGCGTCGACATGCATACTGCTCTGTCTAATGTAAATTTTGAAGAATTCCAACGCTTTGTGGAACTCTTTACCAATCATTTGTATATCCAGTGTTTCGTGCAAGGTAACATAACGCGGGACGATGCATTTGTGATTATACGGGAATGTATCGAAATACTGAATTGCGGTCCCTTGCTTACTAGTACAGTACAACAGATGAGAGTCATGCAACTACCTTTGGGCATAAGTTATTGCAAATTAAAAAATATAGATAAAATGGATACAACTTCCGTAATGACAAATTATTATCAAGTTGGTATCTCGTCTATTGAATTATCGGTATTAATTGATTTGATGATGGTAAGTATTAAATAACATCGTTTTGTATATTTTTCGAGTGCATTGCAATTCTCAGTTTATATTTATTTGTATTTTATATATATATATATATATATATAT